AGCTAAATCCCCAACCCCTGAAAATTTGAATGAGGGAGATTCAGGGGACTATTTCCCTTCCTAGTTTATTTCTATGTTAAATACTCCCCTTTCTTTTTATTCTCTATCTCTATCCACGTTCAAGGAGCAATGGAACTGTACAGTTTGAGAAAATGGAAGGATGATGCAGTCCAGGGTCTCTAGTTGTTCAGAGGTTATCTGAATAGCTCTGTAATCTTGTTCATAAAGCCACTGCTGCTGTTGTACATGAAAGGGAAGTGGAAAGCTGCAGTGATCAATGTGTATTACATTCTCCATTAAGGTCCAAACACTGCCACCATGTGACAGTTCTAATCATCTAATAAAGAAAAAGGATATATTGTAATAAAGGAAGCCAGAACCATTGATGTTATCAGGACCAGCATAATATGGCCTATGAGAGAGATAGACTACACAACAGAGAATAATGAGAGATAAATAATTCTACCTGAAAAGTTAACCAAAAAAAGTAAGAGCATTAATATGAAAACCACCACTTTTTTTAGCCAACATAGTTGTCACCATTATATAATCCCTCATGAGGATAAAAGATGTATGGCAGCAGGGATCTTGCCTGTTTGGGCAGCTGATTATGCCTGGGAAAGTGCTTGAATCATACCCAAAGCATGGCAAGGACTCAATATTTATTATATGGATATATATTAGTGAATGAATCCCAACCAATCTTATTAGAAGTCTTCCTGTGCCCTTACTGGTTGGATTCCTTTGAAATGAAACTAATCGATACTTTCTGTATTAGTCAGCTTTAGATTATTACAACTGCACACCTAAAAGATACAAAGTAGAACTTTGGAGATGTCAGTTCATCATGGTGGGAAGTGTGTGACAGAGCAAGGTCAGTGAGGAAGAAGGGAGACACTGTGTGCCTACATTTGTAGACTCTCTCTCTTGTCCCTCCTTTCTTCTATCTGGACTCCCACACTATAGGGTGGTGCTATTCTCATATAAGGTGAGTCTTATTAATTAATGGAAATGTCCTCACAGGCTTCCTTAGAAATGTGCTTTACTAGACTCTCAGGCATTCTCCAATCCCAACAAGATTAGCCATCATACCATTTCTCAGGGGTACAAAGATATAAAGCATCCTGATAGGACACTATTCCAGCTAGTAGCCACAAGAAGCAGTCTCAAGTAGGAAAAGCAATGATTGGTACAGAGGTTCCTGCTAGCTCACACAATAGCTTTCACAAAACTCTTCTGAGTCAGTCGGTGGACTGAATTAGAATGCATTCATTATGCTAGTAACAGCTGCGTACCCCAAACAGTCACTGCCCCTCACAAATCTAACTGCCCCCTGCCCCTTTTGTTTTTTAAACTAAATTTCATTGTATCCTTTTATTACACAGATTTCAATCAAATCTTTTGAAAGCAGGGCACTGAGTTCCTGCAAGCCAGTGGTTTGCTGGTTTCCAGGCTTGGAGAGCCCTCTGCAGGCCAAGGATAACCTTGTCTCTGATACCTGCATGGTCATAGGCATACAAAGTCCAGAGAAAGAAGTCCTGGGGGACCTTACTTAATAGTCACAGGCTGAGCTGTATGTTTTTCTGTTGTGAGGGGGAGATGGCTTATGAGAGATCATTGGAATGAATCCTTATTGCCGAAAGAAACTAGTTAAATGTCCCAGCAATTCTGCGTGTTTAGAACACAGAGAGAGAGAGACAGAGAGAGAGAGAGAGAGA